TATACTTTGACTCAAAATAGAAATAAGGGCTTATACCAGGTGATTAAGGAATGAGGCTAAATTGACTTAAGAAAACTAAATTTATTTTGAATTAAGTGATTTATAAATAAACACAAAATGGTCATTATAGAATATCCTCTTGTAGAAATCTTTATGATTTGGGGTACTTTTACGTTAGTAGAATTAAGTCAATCACATTTTATGCAGCATGATCATTATTTTGAGAAATATGGTACTTATATATTTCTAACTTTTTTATTACTTAATTATCCAGAACTAATAATCAGCAAGGTTGGAAACATGCAAGTTCAAGGGGTCAGAGGGTTCTAGGATGGAGGTTAGAACCTGTGAGAAGAGGCATGTGAAGCCAGAAGAGAAGTAGTGATCTGAGGAATTAGCTAATGTTTGAGGTCCAGAAGCTGTGATATGGATGAAGAACAGCTTTAGGAGAAGTGAGCAAAAGTAAAGTGGAAAGGTGGGGTTGTCAAAAAAGAGATTGCAGAGTTCAAAGGTGATAGGTCATTTTCTCCCCCAGCTTTATTGAGATATAATTGACATATATAACATTATGCAAGTTTAATATGGACAGCATATTGATTTGATACATTTATATATTGCCAATGATTACCAAAGTGATAGATCATTTTGGACAGCTATAACCCAAAACTCTGCTCTTGGGGTCATCTCATCTGACTTTTTTTTTTTAAACTAGATATTTGATCTTGGGTTAGTTAGATCTGTCTGATTCTTAGTGTTTTGTGGAAAGAGCATGGCATTTTATAGTTATACCACTTCCATTTGAAACCCAATTCTGCTGTTTATTAGCTGTGTTATTTTGGGTAAGCCATGTTTCATTGTGCTTTGATTTCCTCATCCACTAATGGGATATTAAATATTCCCCTCCTAGATTTGTTGAGAGGACCAAATGAAATAATTATTTACAAATGTGAGTAAGGTTTCAGGGCAGTATTGGGAGGGTCAGCACAGATCTCAAAGTTGCTGACCATGGCGGTGGGGCCTGCAGCTCAAACAACTTTGAATCTGGTGCTTAAGACTTTCGGGGGGTTGGGGGGGTGGGAGGTCACCTTAGAGTTCTGCTGATACCTGTGAGGAGAAGACAGAGTTCTGTAAATATATGGGGTGTAATAATGGAAGATACTATCATAATGTCTGAAATGGTTGGGAATCTCTAAGTTTAATAATGTTGTAAATTCCTATCTTCCAAAAATATATTTAATGTCTTTGCTTTTTTCAGCATCAACCTCCAAAGTCAGGTGAAGGAAAGTTCTGAGTGTTACAGTGAATGATATTAAGTGATGCAGTAAATATAAGCATAGAATTAATGCCTCTTTTTACCCCTTCCTAATCCTTTGTGCCTGAGTAGCTCTTTTAGCAATATTATTAATCTCTATCAAATTATGGTTATGATTATCAAAGCATATTAGATTTCAGAAATTTGTCTCAATTGCCACTTCCTTCTTTATCTACTTAGGAAGCTAAGGCTCAGGTACATATAATTAATGTCTCCCATTTTGCTTCTGTATCTGGTTCACCTTATGGTACTCTTCCTCCAAGTTTCTTACGTTGACTTTCCTGTCTCTTCATCCCAGATCCGTATCTGCTGCCCGTGATGATTACATATGCTTTGACTTTTCTCTTGCTCACCTGGATTCTCACCTGCTGACTTCTGCCTCTCCTCCCTCTGTCTGGGCACTCTTCTGGTGGCTTCCGTGGCTACTCACAGGGCCAGGTGACCCTACATTTCTGTTACTCTGCCCTTTAATTTACCGGTAAGATTCATACAGGTCTTTAAAGAGTTTTATTTAGTTAGTTTTATATAACACTTATTTTTAACAAAATTATAACCATGTCTTAAATGAAAAATTATATGTAAACCTAAAACTGTATGGTACAGTTGATTGAGAAAAATAGGTTCAGAATGTATCAAGAAATAACTTAGAATAAAAATTAAGAAAAAAGTCAAGAGTTACAGATTTCCACATTCTCTAGTGCTTTAAGAATGGTTAGGTGACAGAATATTAGGGATTTCTTTGGTTGAGAATATTACAGATGTCCCCCATTTCCCCCTCTTTGCCCCCCCTCCACCTGGCTCCCACCCCACCCCAGGCCTTTTACTTCACCATTGTCTGTGTTTATGGGCTATGGAGATTTTTTGTTTGTTTGATCTTTGGATTCTAGTGTTCTGTTTAATCTGGCTTATGTTTCTGTGAGTAGTGTGTTGTAGTTACCCTTCTTTGTTTCCATAGCTTATAAGGCTAATGTGCACTTATAATAAAACAATGCCAGTTAGATTATGACATTTCTGGTTTCTTTGCTTTATAATGAACTATTGTAATAATATTGATAAGTTCTGTTTGAATCAGCATTATTGTGTCATTGGCATAAAGCATAGTAACTATTACAATGAACATAGCAGTGCTTTTAAAATTTCAGGGTAAAAAAGAAACCTGTTGTGAGTTTTGGAATATTAGTAATAAAATTTAAAAATTAAAAATGCCCAACTTTCCCAGGTTAGTCTTTTACAACTTTTTTTCTTTTGCCAATATTATGGAGAAGCTGGGGTACATTAGATCAATTTCTCTCTTAACTATTGTACACAGTGATCCATTAGCCAGCTGATTCAGATGTTATTCTTTCACCTGGCAAGAGTGAAGAGAGGCCCAGTGCACGAAATTTGTACACTGGGGGGAGGGGTCCCTCAGCCAGGCCTGTGCCCTCTCGCAGGGGAGCGGGCCTAAGCAGGCAGTTGGACATCCTTAGTGCTGCTGCGGAGGTGGGAGAGGCTCCCACCACTGCCGCTGTGCTCGCCAGCCGTGAGCTCGGCTTCAGATGAGCAGTGCTCCCCTTTCGGAGTGCACTGACCACCAGGGGGCAGCTCCTACATTGGAGCTGTGGTCAGTGCGCATCATAGTGACCAGTTGTTCTGCCGTTTGGTCAATTTGCATATTAGCCTTTTATGCCTTCGGGATCAAGCCAAAACCGGCTCTCCGACACTCCCCGAGGGCGCAGGCCAGGCCGAGGGACCCCACCAGTGCACGATTGGGGCCGGGGAGGGACACGGGAGTTTGGCCAGCTGAGGAGGGACCGAGGGAGGGCTCCAAGGCATGTCCGGTCCGTCTTGCTTAGTCCCGATCAGCCAGACCCCAGCAGCAAGGTAACCTACCAGTCAGAGCGTCTGCCCCCTGGTGGTCAGTGCACGTCAAAGCGACTGGTCAACCGGTCGACTGTCTGCCCCCTCTTGACCAGTGCACATCATAGCGAGCGGTTGAGCAGCCTTAGCATATCATTAGCATATTATGCTTTGATTGGTTAAACAGATGACCGATCAACTGGACACTTAGCATATTAGGCTTTTATTATATAGGATAGCAGCAGCCCCTGGTATTCCTATCCTATTATTCCCAGGAAGGATTTGTGACACCTGAGGCTGATCGTGGCCTTCATTTTGCTCAATTCCTTACCTTTGTGGAGGAACTTGTCCATCCTTTGCAGGGTTGTCACTTGTACAGTTTTCTGACGTTCCTAAAATTCCTTCAGAAATTCTTAGTGCTCTCTTAGGGAGTCTTAGCCCTCATTTTGAGGCTGTAGTATTGTATCCGGGTAAGATAGATTTAAGAATAATCAATTGAAATTTCTCTTTGATTCCTAAGTTCTCACCTAAAATATATGTGGAAAATCCTATCTAATAAAGAGGGATTATGCAAATTGAACGTCACACTGTCACAAAGATGGTGGCGCTCATAGCCATAATATGGTGGTGCCCAATCCCCTCAGCCCTGTCGGAGTCCCCAAGTCCTTTCAGCCATGCCGGGGCGGGGGAGGGTGGCAGGCGCCTGGTGTGGCCAGACCCGCCCTCAGCCCCCCAGCCACCTAGGGCCGGCCCGAGGTACAGGCAAGCCTCGGATGTCAGCTGCCCAGCCACCTAGGGTCGGCCCAAGGCGCAGGCAAGCCTTGGATGTCGGCTGCCCAGCTGATGCCTGAGGCACAGGAAAGCCTCCGATGTTGGCTGCCCAGCCACCCAGGGCCGCCCTAGGCTCAGGTCACCAGGGCCTGCTGAGACTTGCGCTGCCAGCAGTGGCAGCAGCAGAGGTGTGATGGGGGTGTCGCCTTCCCCTGATCGCCGGGTTGCCTCCCACCCTGAGGGCTCACGGACTGTGAGAGGGGGCAGGCCGGGCTGAGGGGCCCCTCCCCCTCCAGTGCATGAATTTTCATGCACCGGGCCTCTAGTGATGCTATAAAAATCATTTTTATTGGCTCCCCAAATGGTAAACACACCTGTCTTTTATTAAGTGTCAATTTTCTTAGCTAAGGTTGTATGAAGTCTTGAGTCATGGCATTTGTAGCGAAGGGTTAAAAAATATAGCCAGTAGAAAAAGCTCAAGTTCTGTTCTTATGTAATGGGCTTCATGTTGAAATGATTTAATAATCATTTATGGAGGGACTCTTCTCTGCAGGCATTGTGCTAGCTACAGGGCATACAATGGTGAATACGACCATCTCCATCCCCAAGGTAAATAAACAATTGCATGGTGGTTATGTTGAACTTGGCAAATTACTTGATCTCCCTAAGTCTCAATTTTCCTGAGACATGAGACTCTCATTAAGGTTGTTAAAATTAAATGAGATAGTAAATGTAAAGTGCTTAGCTTAGAGCTCAGCATATATAGCAAAAAGTACTGCAGAAGCATGATGAGAGTGATACCTTACCTAATCTCGGGGGAGTGGGCTGGAGAAGATGTCAGGAGGAGCTTCTCAGAGGAGGTGGTGGCTGGGATGGAGCTGAATTCTAAATGATAAGGAAGAAGAAGAATGGATGGAGGTAAGATGGTTGTCTTTTGTTGCTTGGTCTTCCATCTTTAACTGAGCATTAAATTGCATTGTTAATATGTTAATATATTGTATGTTATGTCTCAAGAACATGAAAAGTAATGTTACAAAGTTCTATTTTACATTAAGCAATATCCTTAATTTTTTTCCAGAGAATTAAAGAGGGCAGCATAATTGACTCAGTTAAAACAATCTGTGTGGGAGATCATATTGAATCCATAAATGGAGAAAATATTGTTGGGTGGCGTCATTTTGATGTTGCTAAGAAGTTAAAGGAATTAAAAAAAGAGGAACTTTTTACCATGAAGTTAATAGAACCTAAGAAGGCATTTGGTAAGTTGGTTTCATGTGTGTGTGTGTGTGTATATTCCTTACCCTGGACATCTTTCTTTTTTAAAATCACTTTATTACCACTATTTATATACTTTTCATACTTATACTTTTCTCTTTGTGCTGAATTGTTTTTTCTTTTACATTTTTATCTATAAGTGTTTTCAATTACCGTTTATATTTAATATTATTTTATATTAGTTTCAGATGTACAGTAGAGTGGTTAGATACTTGTCCCCCTGAAATTTCCAGTTTCCCTGACGTAACTCTCTAAGGGAAATGAGTACTGTGGTGTGGTGCCACGTGCTTCTGGTGTATCATTTAAGAACATAGGAAATAATAGATAGTACTACTTATAAGGAAAACAAACATTGAAGGACAAAAAAATGGCCTAGAAGGACATTCTCTAAAAAAGGCATTTGGAGTTACAGAGTCTTTGAGTTTGATGTGGTCGTTCCAAGCCAAGAACTGCACATTGTGTTGTGTTCATCTTCCTAAGCAGTTCGATTTTTATTAAGTTCTCTAAACTATATTAGCTGTCATTCCTGGACCACAATAGCAAAAACTTTAGTTACACACAGAAGTGGTATTTAAAATAGTTGTCTAGTCTATTTTAAAGACTTTTCCTCCTTTGGCATTCTGAATTGGCAGGGTGGGATGGTATGAAATTACTTTGGTGTGACATCTGTACTTGCTTGGTTTTAGCCATGGCAGCTGTGTTCCAGCTCTTGTTCAAACCCCCAGGGCCATCTCATCTCCAGGAAAAGATGCCAGCTTCTCTCAGTACCCAGCACTATTTTAATAAGCCGAGTGACGGCCTAGTGTTCATCAGTGTGAAAATATCTTCAGAATTATTCTGGGCCTGCCCTTACTCATCCATGACCCCACCCACTTGGTGTTCTTTCCTTTGCTCAGGGAACAGAAATATTCCTTGTGGCTTCTCTAATGGCTCTTTTCTCAGGGTAGTTAATGACCATGATGGGAGGATGCAGTGGGTCTGGGGAATTACGCTTCTTCCTTGAGCAAGGAAGTGGCAGATCCTAGCCATATGGAATTGGAAAATGTTTTCTGCTTCCATGTGATTCTGTGTCTTTTAATAGAAACACAGTATAGGTTATATTACTTGTGGGAGACAGAGTTCCAAGAAGATGTAAGGAAAGAATGCTTTATTCGGTGCTGCTCTGGGGGGACCACTATAGAAACCCGGCTATGGATAAGGTGATGCTGCGTGGTGCATTGCAGCATCTGAGCTCGCTTCTCACAGAGGAAGGTGGGACAGCACTTGTTCCTTTTGAAGTGGCTTTGCTTGGTAACCAACTTCCCAGGTTTCACAGTACATAAATTGATAGCACGTAGACCAGGGGTCCTCAAACTACGGCCTGCGGGCCACATGCAAATACAAATATTGTATTTGTTCCCATTTTGTTTTTTTACTTCAAAATAAGATACGTGCAGTGTGCATAGGAATTTGTTCATAGTTTTTTTTTAAAACTATAGTCCAGCCCTCCAACTGTCTGAGGGACAGTGAACTGGCCCCCTGTTTAAAAAGTTTGAGGACCCCTGACGTAGACAGTTTGAGAGAAATAGTATTTGATTGATTGATTTATTATTTAAAAATATTTTTATTGATTTCAGAGAGGAAGGGAGAGGGAGAGATAGAAACATCAATGATGAGAGAGAATTATTGATCAACTGCCTCCTGCATGCCCCACACTGGGGATTGAGTACACAACCCAGGCATATGCCATGACCAGGAATCGAACCGTGACCTCCTGGTTCATAGGTCGATGCTCAACCACTGAGCCATGCTGGCTGGGCAGAAATAGTATTTGATTTAGACTCTGTAAATCAAAGTCATTCTCATAGTACAGCCCAAGGAAGATAATTTTCTTTCCACATTTATCTCTGCCTCATATTATTCTTGTTTTCCAGAGTTAACCTTTTCCTATGTTTTCTTTGTTGCCTCCTAAGAATCCCATGAATAGACTTGAGAAGAACATTGGGTACGATTTTCCTAAAGAAGGTATATTATTTCAGCATCCTAAATTCTGCCGGTGCTGTGGGTTAGGATACCTGGAGGTTGATATTGGAGCAGTGACAGATTTTCATTTTCCAAGGCTTCTATGGCAGTTTATCTTAACACAACATAAGCCTGCTGGCTTACATGCATTTTCCAGTCTGTGGGTTGGTCCTTGCCTCTGGGCCCCAGCCTGGGGACTTTTCTCTTAGATGTAGGCCTTACTGCACTGCCCATTCTTCAGCCCTTAATTTTGCAGTTTATCTTTTTGCCTCTGAGATAAAGGCAACACTAGTTTGTTCCACATCCTCTGGCTTCATCTCAGCACATTGCTCTTTGCCAGGGAGAGAGCATATACACATCTGGAGGTACTTGGTGACTAGGCTTCCCTTAATTCTCTTGGTCCTAATCTTACTTTTTGCTATGTTTTCTTCCTTCCTTTGTTTTTCTAGCATTATCCTTGATGCATTGACTCAAATTTCATATTTTGTTTTTATTTTAAATAATTATTTGACTCTCTGCCATCTTGGATTTCTACCAGGAGAAAGGGCCAGTCTAGGTGAGGTAGAATTTTCTTTTTTCTGATTCAAATAGGCCATATTAGCTGAAGCTAAGTCATTTCTGGGATTTTACCAAAAGCTGAGAGAAATGGCCATACACTCCAGTATTTTACTACCAATTTCCCTAAAGATTTAGCCTCAGAAGCATGTGAACTGTGTGTCCCAAAATACAGGAGGGAGTAGTGTAGTTAACTGCCTTGTAATGGAGTAACATGGATGATGAACACAACTTAGCTATGAAGAGGGGCACCCTTCCTACCTGCTCCTGTTTCCATAATTAGGTCTACCACTAGTCATATCCCACTTCTAGGGGCCATTATATGTGTCAAGATTTAAAAAATATATGTATTTTATTGATTTTTTACAGAGACGAAGGGAGAGGGATAGAGAGTTAGAAACATCGATGAGAGAGAAACATCAATCAGCTGCCTCCTGCACACTCCCTACTGGGGATATGCCCGCAACCAAGGTACATGCCCTTGACTGGAATCGAACCTGGGAACCTTCAGTCTGCAGGTCGACACTCTATCCACTGAGCCAAACTGGTTAGGGCTGAGCTGAATCTTAAAAGAGGCTTGCTCAATGAACAAATTAGGGAAGGTTGTCCTAGGGAGTAGGAACAGAATAAGCAAATATGCAAAGGTCTGGAGCAGTATTATATATCTGGGAATATGATGATGCATGTCAATGTGATTGGAATACAGGTTATAGGTGGTGGTGTGGCAAGAAATGAAGCTCAAGAGTCAGTGGGCCCCTAATTATCAAGGGTCTTATTATGAAGACTAGAGGCCCCATGCACAAAATTTGTGCATGAGTAGGCCTTTGCAGCCCCAGCTTCGTCCAGAAGGTTGTCTGGAAGGTCATCCGGAAGGTCATCGGAGGGTCATTAAGCTGTTTGGCTGTTAGGTTGATTTGCATATTATGCTTTTATTATTATAGATAAAGAGTAGGCAATGGAAAACTAGTGAAGGATTTTAGGTAGGGGAGTAACATGATGAGACTTGGATTTTAGAAAGATTTTTTGAAGACTATGTCAGACTGTGGGATGGGCTATGAGTTAGAGGTTAGGAAATCCATAAAGATTCAATTGTGTTACTTGAGGAGAAGAAAATGAAATTATGAACTTAGACATGGAAATAAGAAAGGGTTCGGAGGAATAGACAATGGTTTGCTGGAGCCATTTGCGCATACCTCTTTTCAGCTTCATGTTCAATGACATCAAGTTGGTTGTTTGAAATTGGCTATGGTGGGGTGTTTACATCACAGAAATGAGCAAGTGCTGTAAGTTGGAGCTTGGTAGCCTGGAGAGGTGATTGTTAAATATTTACCTGCATACCACTCGATGTTAAGAAGGTAGAATTAGTTACCCATTGGAAGTAGAGGTAAAGGAAAAGAAATTGCAAATGATGACTCACAGATTTTTTGCTTGTGTGAGGGACTGAGTGTGGTGCTATTCTTTGAAATGAGGAATTCTTTAAAAAAAGATTTGAGTGAGGAGATAGAGAAGAGGTTAAACTTATAGTACAATTTTGGACCCTTAAAGAATTTGAAATCTGTGGGGCAAATTCAGTCGGAAAATGTGCAGAGGTAGAGGGATGTTGAGAACAGGGGTCTAGGGAATGGGATTTATGAGTACAGTTGTATGCTGTTTAACAGCAGGGATACATTTTGAGAAGTGTTATTAGGCGACTTTGTGGTTGTGCTAACATCGGAGTGCACTTGCACAAACGTAGATGGTATAGCCTACTACACACCTAAGCTACCTGTTTATGGCCTATTTCTCTATAGGCGAGGAAAAATAAATTCTCCTTTACTCTTTGAGTTGTTGGGTTTTAGGTAGGGGGCCTTGATTACCCCTCAGGAGCAGGGGGAGGTGGAGAAGCTCTGAGGGTCAATTGGGGCCAGCAGCCACCACTTGCTGGCACCAGCAGCAGGTGCGAGTGCTGGGCGGGACTGTGGTGTGCAGAAGCAAAGAATTTTCAGTAACCACCAGAGACTCGCCCTGATGACAGCGACTGGCACCCCACCTTTGTCTGGAGCCCCTGCTCACCTTCTCCACCATCCTGCTGTGGCCGCCACCCGCCCGCCATGTTCCACGCTCTGTTGCCTGCTGCCAACACCCACCATGTTCTGTGTGCGCCCCCTGGTGGTCAGCACACGTCATAGTGACCGGTTGTTCGGTTGTTCCGCCGTTTGGTCTATTGGCATATTAGGGTATTATACATATAAATGTGTGTGTATCTATAGCTATCTACCTAGATATAGATATTGTATACCTATGGGTCATGATATAATGCACATATTTCTCACTCTGTGTCATTGCAAAAAACATTTGAAAGCCACAGGTTTAAATGACTCCCTTATTGAAAGTCTGTAGTTTAATGGGAACTCTCCCATATCCAGCATGGTTTCTCTTGGTCAGCTGC